TTAAGTTTTTTTTTGATCCCTCACCCCATGCTCAGAGGCAGCGTTCAGCAGTGATTGGGAGAATCTTTGCCTGTTGCCTAGGCTGGGCGAATGTCACCGCCTCGCGCCCTCAAGCAAAAGGAGACTCCCAAAGCATCTGCCAAGATGGCAGATGCTGCCACAGAGGTGCCTTGCACTGTGTGCAAGTGCTTGCCTTCTAGGGTGACGTGCAATTCAGGTGACTCCGGCATCCTTCGTTGAAGGGCCGCTGCCCCTAGCATGTTTGCTTTGAAAATGCTTGATGTTAATAAACTCATGGGCATGTTGAAATCAAGCAGATCTGCGATCACCTCTGTTTGTTCGCTGACTTGTTGAGGCCCGGCTTTCTGGCAGAAGCAAACTTCTCAGTTCAGATGTTCTTGGAGTCACATGTGTCGAGAAAAGACAAAGACTTGCCTGAGGCGCTCCCACCAAGGATTGGCAGTGAGGATACGCCCAGCACTCCGCCTATGTTGCTTTGGCACCAAGCCGCCACCGCCACTTGATTGTGCTACCACTGCCGCCACCGTCGCGATCACTACCACATGCCAGCACAGCCACGGCCGCCACCAACACCACCAGAGCCACTGCTCCAGCTGCTGTCGTCCGTGCTCGTGTATAAGCAGATGGAGACATGCAACAACGAGCACGCAAAGTACTAGACATTGCATACTCGCTGTTGCATCCGGGGCCTGGAAGGACTGCCCGCTGCTTGCGGGCATATTCGACTACATAGCTGCTGGTCGAGTGGCCTGATCCCAATCTTTTGGAAGTAGTCGAATGCAGACTTTACTAAGTATCGCGCGGTTCGTTTCAAAAGAGAAGGAGCTCGCAATGCAGTCCATTTTCAGCCTGGGGAACGAGAAGACCCTCCGTGCGGTTCTACAGCGTTGGATGCTTGGCGTATGCCACCGCGTCTGGCATGTCTGGCATGGCAAAGGTAAGGATCAAGTGACATGAGCTGACTGAGGGCTTGATGCTGATGAGGTGTGGCCTCGGCATCCTGGCTGCGCTGATGAAGTGGGAATATTGATGAAGTGTGTTTTCTGCGTCCACATCACAGTGTCTGATGTGTCCCGAGGCTGCCCAAGCCTGAGGCTCAACACCTGGCCATGCACCAAGGGACACAACACCTGATGTCTTCCGCGAGTGGTGACGGCGCTGCCCGCTGCATTGTGTGTGGCGCAGATCTGGATTGAGGCAATGCTTCTAGTTGCGATGGTTTGCCGGGATCCCTTCAGCCTTTTCCTCAGTAAAAGAGAGATCCGAGAGTTGACATCAAAGCATAAGCGCAGGCTCGGCGGCCAGCGAAGCATGTCCATGGTCCTGGCCTTGGAGCATGCTTTCAAGAGTAAAGGACCTTGTTGCCGACTGTTCGAGGCTGGAAGCCCTGCTGCGCAGAACACGCGGTGAGGACTTGCTTCCAGCACAGGCCGCCTGAGACAGTCCTTTGTAACTTTGGTGGCTTGACGTTAGCTTCACTACTATGCCATGTCAGCAGCAGCATTCTGAGTCTCACAAGCATGAAACTCCGTCCTTGCAGCATGCTGAATCGTGTCTGCTCACAGATACCTGACAGCAGAAGATTCAGTGTGTGTTGTGACATCTGAAATTTCAATATTTCAAGCTCATCAACGGGTTGACGTAGTTTGCCTGAAGACCTTGGAGAGAAGTCGATGCGAACTGAGCGATCGCGACCTTTCAAATCCGTGGCAGGGTCAACCAAGCCGTTTGCTCCGGTGGGCGGGGATCTATCAGCCACGTGCCAGGAGATGCCTGCGCTGCAGGGAGCGCTCTTCAGCGCCTCCGCAGTCATTGCTGGCATGTTTCTTCCAGGGCGTGCATGCATAGCGCACGATCACTTCGATTAATTCGTTTAGACCAGGCTGTTTGAGGTTGTGTGCCAGCCATGCCAAGGCAGGTTTTGTCCTGGTGAACCATAGTGTCGGTATGGCTCTTTTCTCTACGAACTACTCCTCGCCAACTGTTTTCACACACGCTGCGGAGTCTGCAAGGATCGCACGTGTGTCTGGCTTTTGAATAGCGGGGCTTTCTTAGCCCAAATGGTGTGCGCATCGATTGTGGGGAGCTGGCCCCACAGCTGGCAAGTAAGGGGTTTCGATAGCATTCTTTCCGTGAAGGTGGGAGGAGATGCAGGCACCTGTGCCGCTCGCCTCTATTTCCGCCTCTTCCAGCGGCAGGCAGGGCAGGAGATGCGCATGCTGTGCTCTTCCTCTAGCAGTCTGGAAGATCTGCAAGGCATCCGCTTCCTGCCCGTGGATGTTCCCAACTCGAGGAAAGGCCTTGCCAAAGCCTTGGGCAGGCTTGGCTTGTCTAGACGTACGGAAGAGACGATCAGCTGAGGCCGAACATGCTGCCTCAGTCTTGTCCTTGAGCACGTAGTTTGCTCCGAGCCCAGAGTGATAGCTGGACTGCAGGAGCATTGTTAATGAAGTCTCACTCTGCACATTATCTTGGGTAAACTGCGTGGCTGAAATTGGCTACGCAGGCCCAAGTTGTACAAACGGCCCCACCAAGTCGCCAAGCCTGACTGGCTAGCGCAACTTCAGCTCGCATCAGCGGCACACAGCACCAAAGCCCAGCTACACGGCGTGCAGCGAGATGATGCTTAACTGCAGCTTGCAAAAACGCTGAGGTGCTTGTGGATTGGCAATGGCGGTGGCCGAGAAGATTTGCGATTTGTCCAGGATGCAGGATTTGACGGGGCGTGCGCCCGAAAGCCACGACCCTGAGCTGGGACCTGTCTCCAAGACAGCTCCAGGTACACCTACTTCGCTGCCGAGGGCTTCACACCAGGCTTGCTGGGATTTCGTGGGATCTGGGATCTGCGAACGGATTAGGGACATGATCTCCCAAGCCAGGCTCGAACACCAAGAGCTGGAAAGATGTCGCGGCGTCGGGATCTCACTGGACATAAAACCCCATGTAGTCTCCATGTTCACACGTATCCGAAGCAGACGGCCGATTAGGAGCTTTCCGAAGGGCTTCTCACGTGACATTCAGTCCTGTTTGCGCAGGCACAGTATGAGTGATTTCATGCTTGTAGGAGTCCATGCACCATCCCAGGCGTCTGAAGAAGGTTGGAAAGCTCTTTGTGCCATCCGTTGGGCCTGGGTTCGCCCGCCATTTATGCAGAACTTGTTTCCTTGATGTGCTGGAGTCATGCTTGAAGGTACGATGACACGCGTGTGAGACCGTGGAATTCCCACAACATTCGAGAAAGGAAGGGGGGAGAGTGCGCTGCCCTCCATCGGGCTGGTTTGCAACTAGTTTTGGGCTTTCGCCTGGCTGAATGTCACAGGTACTACAACCGCATGTGGTCCGCGGCAGTGAGCAGTTGCTTGATTTAAAAAGAGGGCTTCAGGCAACGAGGGAGGTGAGCAGCGAAGCTAAGGCCGGCCTTATGCGGTCTCGGCCCAGAAGCTTAGAAGGAGAACCGGCTCAATGCCACTTCAGAAGGCCTTTGCTTGTTGAGGTGACCTCCTATAATGAATGGGGAGAGGGCACGCAGATCGAGCCTGCGAAGCGCCATCGTTCGCGGAAAGGCAGCACCCATGCAGGATATACTGAGCACTCAATTGCCTGACAAAAGGAACAAAATATGGAAGCTATGAGCCTCAGCCGTTGTAGCCTCGGGAGACATTCCACCTTGGGCCATGCACTGCAGAGCTGTCATTAACTGTCAGTGCTTAGGAGTACCTTCTACTTGGCGGAGACCAAACGATGGTCAGATCAATTCAAGGTCAGGCTCTCCCTTTTCGGTGATCTTCCGGTTGCGTGTGGTGGCCAGGAGGACCAATGCCGTGAGCAGAAAACGGAGTTGTAGGTTTTAGGAGCACAAAGGTTGCAAATGATTAGATGTGCCTGTCCCATCCTTGGGATGAGCACTGCACGCATTTGTACATAATCCACGTATGACGGACGTGGACCTGTTAGCTAGTCCCAGCTTCCAAGGATGGTTCAAGTCCCATGAAGCAGGTCACACTATGACACTGCCAATCAACTACTCACGCCAAATGCCTAGCTTGGGAAGCAGGGTATGAATTGCTTTCGACAGCACACGTGGGAGCGCGCCCAGAAAAAGGCGGTCGAAGTGCTTGCATTCTTTTCGGTGGAGCCTGATCTGTGATGCATCCTGCTGTTTGCTCTCAACAGGACATATTGCCAATCCACATTCTGAATGCTAGTGCGACCTGTCCTACTGGTAGGAAGAAAAGCCTGCGACACAAGCCTTCTAAGAGGAGCCGGAGCCGTCGATGCTTCCATACTACAATTTGGCCTTCCTGCAAGCTATCGCCAGCCATGACCGGCGCTCTTCCAAGCGATGCGTTGCTGCGGACCCCTGAACGGCTGCCGCCAATGGACCGTCAGGTGGTGCAAAGATGCGTAGTGCTCGATTTCACGTGCATTCCTAAAGTTGTCAATGGCTCCCTGAGGAGACGTCCGGGGAGCGTTACAGAAAGCGTCAACAGCAACGATCAATTATGGCTGTCATGGATCCTTTCAATCCTCCAGCATCCAAGAAACGTGCCACTGAGCAGCAGACTGGTTTGCCGGCAAGATTTGGTCAGCAAGTCATGCTTCGCAATACTTTTGCTGACAAAGCATGCGATTGAGGACCAAAGTAGTCTCGACTTGCGAGACTGGATGCTGGGGCGAGATACAGCATGCGGGGATTTTGGGGAGTTTTGAATTAAGGCCTGCCTGCATAGCTTTCTTGCACTCATGCTACACGAGGAGATCCTGGCTTTCCGCGTTCTCTGCTGCGGTGCCCCTTTTCCTGTGCCTTGGGCTAGCACGAGCACCGAATAAGGCAGCGCATGAAGTCTTGGAGGCACAAACAGCTCCAGCCTTGCATATGGCTCAGAGTTGCAACAATCAAGCAACCCAAGGTTGAGCTACTCGTCATGCGTGTCCTACGCTCACCTTATTGTCTCTGGTGCATATGGCTACCCAATTCGCGCTGTCCAGCCCTTACCACGCTTTATCTTCTAGTATTGCATAGTTTACGCGAGTGGATAACATGCAGAGCCATTCCGCCAAATCCTGAGGTTGTTGTCACGTCCATGCATCTGTTCAGCAGTGGCCTTACAGGCCTCATCCTTCCGCTGCGGAGCAACATGGCTAATATTCTTGATGTGGCTGCACCGGAGGGCCTTGCAATGCGCAAGCCCCCAATGCCACTGCCGGCTTGAATATGGTAGCCAGGCCATACTGACAACCACTAACAGTATACCTGCCTGCCTGGTCTTCTACGAAGAAAGTAATCATTGCCCCCCCACTACGGGTTCCCCCATCAAATAGAGCCCGGCATTACGCAGGTTCCCAAACGTCGTGTGAAAGCATTCAAGCTGAAGAGAAAGAGGTCATAGCTGCAAGAGCATCAGTTGTGTAGCGCTACGTTCTAGCAGAAGACGAAAGGCGGGGAGTCCTACCCCAGTCAGCTCAAATTTGCAGCCAGTTGTGCCTAATATCGAACAGACGAACAGAGTACATTGCAGAAGCTCAAGCAGTTCCCAAGCGGGTCCTCCGCCCTCTTGGAACATTCTAGTTTGCAAACATGCGGCGAGGAAGAACCTTTTTGAAAAACGCTTTGAGGCAACACTCTTCCAGACCCTAAATGTAAAGCATGCCTGCGGTGGTATGAGCTGTGAGGGGTTTTGCTCATGCTGATTGGAACACGGTCTTTCGCCTTTCCTTGCGGTGCTGGAAGGTGTGGGACTTGCCGTTGCCTCGCGCAGCTGAGGCAAATGTCCTTTGATCATTCCGTCGGCAGATATCTCTGTGACTATGTTCTACCAAATGATCGTCTGCCGCCTTAATCTGGCTGTGAGCAGCACCCGGAGTCAGGGAATTTCTGGGAGATCTCTGTAAGCAGGTCTTGCTTTGAGTCGAGGTCATGGATATCGTCAATGCGGCTGCTGAGGATGGCACCCTATCGCCAGAGGCAGTCATCTTTCTTTGTGCTTCCATGAAGAGACTACTTTGTGCTCTGTAGACATCCACCAGGCAGTGGCGGCAACTGCTCTGCTGGCCTTGCCAGTGGTCAACTTAGTTGTCCTAATCAGTCTCTGATTTGCTGAGAGCTTCTTTTTTCACATTTTGCTGCTTGGAAGAGGACATGTTCCGTTTGCTTGTGGCATCTGAGAGAGCTTCCACAGCAACTGCATGTTCGCCTTGCCCACAACATTTTTACAATGCTCATGGATAGAGAATGAACAGTCCAACCGAAGGACCTGGCTTTCGAGCTCTCACGAATTTATAGCCCCCCAGTGCTGCCACTTTTCGGTACCCATCACAGAGGACAGAACACTGTACAATGCTGCAGGTTAGCTAGGACAAGCTTGCGAGTCAAATTCCTGTGGATATGCAGTCACTGGCAGCAACGCAGGTTAACACCATCCTGATGAGTTTGGTATTCTTCGTGGTCGGCGAGCGCCCTGTCCACCTAGTTTTGGTTATTTAGCCCTGCACCTTGATTTTGGCATGTCTGTTGGCTACTGCACTCCTGGTGTCAAGTGCGTCAGTGAAGCAGAGGCAGAAAGCCACGGTGGTTGTCTCCTATCTGCCCTACCCCGTGGTGGCCGGCTTCCTGGGCTCCATAGGCACGCTTTGAAAAAAGTGTCCGACACTTGCAGTTTGCGTCTGCTGTTTAACATCCTTGGTTGCAACCTTGTTCTCTACCGACAGGACTGGACTAGATGGCTGTAGATGTTGTAGGCGGCTCAAAGAGCATCGTTACATGCACTCGCTCTCTCAACTAACCACTCTCGCTCAGCAGTCTCCTTTGCAGGTATCTGCAGCAAGAGGATTGAGATTGGCGTTTCATTGTCTGTCAGTCAGTACCGGGCAGGCCTGGCCATCTTTGTCGGTGCATTTGCCGTGCTGCAGGACAGGATGCGTCTGTTCTGATGTTTGCTTTGCGGTCAAGTCTGTGCTTCCGTCTGCACCTCTACTGCAAGGATGGCCTCAGCGGCTTCAGTGGGATCGTCCAGGCAGTTAGCATTTTCATTTGCGTGTGCTGGAGCTGCCTTCATCCAAAGCCCTCCCCAACCTTTAACGGGCAAACAGCATGTTGCCTCTCGCTTGATGAACCGGTGTGCGCGAAATCGTGCATCAGCTACACAGCCTTGAGCGCAAATCACAATCTTGTCAGTTTTAGAGGCGGCCGTTTTCAACATTCTCCTAATCCAGCGGTGCATGGGTTTGTAAACGCTTTGCCCGTGTGCATTCATGAGAGGCTTTTCTTTGAACAAACCGACCCCTTTCACGACCTTGTCCAAGTAAGTTTTGTGCCAGGGTCAAATTGCCCAGGCTATCATTGACCAGCAGTCAAAACCATTCTTTGCCAGAGGCTGCTCAAGACCAGCCTTTGCCGCTTTGCTGCGCAGCGGGTGGCGTGGCGGCAGGCTCCCCCATTGCCGCAATGCTGAAGATTAGCAGCTGAGGAATGGCGCTAAGCTCCATCCTGCTGAAGCATGCTGGACTCCCTGCCAGAGTCACCTGGCCATCCCTGTAGAGGCTGCTAATTCTTGTTTACCGTGTCTAAACCGGACGTTTCATCCGCGTGTTGCTTGACCTGAGGTATTAGCCGTCGCTCCAACTTTGACGACATTGGTGCCTTGGTCCACTAGACGTGGCTGGTTTGGAGCCCCAAGCGTCCTGCATGGTGGACTCAGGTTGTATTTTGGTTATGCTTCTTCTTGTCTGGTCGGACCTTGCACGAGGTTCGCGAGGACAGCGGTCGAATCTGAGCTCACAGGCTTGCAAACAAGACCTGCTTTGTCAGGACGGATGGCTGTTTCCAGCGGCAAGTTTCGAGCCTTTCTGGTCTATTTGGTTGGCCGTGATCCTAAGTCCTCAGTATCACGACTTGGATTAATCTCACAGTGGCTTGCACGTCTCTCAGGACCAGAAGCCGGCGCAGGTTGTGCTGCAACTTGACCGCGAATAGGGAAGTGAAATGGAAGCTCGGGCTTCCGCTGCATGATTCAATGATTCGCAGGCACTTGCTGCCTCCTAAGCTTGCTACCTTCCTTGGTGCGGGCCTCGGCTGTGTTGCCATCCGTGGTGTTTCTTGTCTGGTTCTGTTGGCAGGATCAAACGAGTGATGTTTGTTCAGCAAGAAATCCGCTGGCCTTGTGTTTGCGAATGTTGTTGCATGTTGGAATGCCTGCAAGAACTGAGACCCATGGCATGCATGCAGTCAGTGCAGAGTTTTATGCTTGGCAGGAGGGAAACTTCAAATCACCTGCAAAGCAAGGGCAGAATGAGGCAAGTGCTACAGGATTGCAGCCAAAAGAAATTGAACAGCTCGGGGATATGATGTCGACATCGTTTTATGGTGGGCTTGCGGAAGCTAGCGGAGAGATGCCCCAGACAACAAAGCCAAATTTCTTGCGGCATGAGGGTCCAAAGGGAAACCAAAGCAGAATCAGAGAAAGAGCGGGGAGATGACAACAGCGCGATCTTGTACGGCCTTTGAGAATGCCTATGACTCTTGCTAGAACATGCATATTCTATCCCTCAAGGCTCTTCAGATTCTGTGCCTTCATCCAGTCAGGTTTGGGGTTTGTCCTGGTGCTCTCGCTAACCCTCCGTGTCGCTGGCATCGAGGCTGGCCAGCCCGCTTGGAAAAAGATCCAACAAATTTGAAAAGACACAGCCGCGCTAGAGTCATATCAGACTTGGCAGAGTTCCAGGGAGTCTTGTCCAGCCGACTGCAAATCTATCACTTGTGCTCTGTCTGCTGAGTACAGAAGGGCCGGACTGAATTCCAAAAGGGCATCTGGGTCAGGTCAGCACCTCGAGAGCTTACACGGGCTTGTGTAAAGTTGTGGCAATATTCTGACGAAAACGCGCTCGGCAACTGCAATCCTGGGCAGGGCTCAACGGGTTCGATGATGGGCGTGGACGACGAGGTGCTGGAGTAGTGTGGCATGTATCTAGTTGGTGCAGAATCAGGGTCGCGCAGAGCAAATGAGAGCATTGTGCCAGGTAAAATGGACAGGCATTGCCAGTGGCATTGCAGGCTGTTGCGGAACCGCTTCCTGGATGATTTTCAGCGTAGGTACTGTAGTCTTGATGCACTGATGTAGAGCATGGTGATTGGCAACCTCCTCTTCTGGCAACATTGTCATGCCTGCCCAGGTGATTGGATCGCACTCGCCCGGTCTGACAACCTTCAATGCAGCCGCTTGCATACAAGTAGCATTTGAGATCTCCGTCTTCTGGCTGGCCCGCATGAGTGGCAAGGAAGCCGGAAGCACTACGGCACAGGCCGCGGCACTGGTCTCAGCGGCCAAGAAAGAGATGGTGGCAGAGTGTGTAGTACTGCGTGTCAGCACCTTTGCGAAGGTGCTGACAGCAGTCCTCCAACTCGGCTTGTGGTTGAGTGGTGCTGGAATCCCGGATTTGTTGAGCAAGTGCAGTGAAGAATCCCGCTGCCGGAGAATTTCTTTGACGATTTCATGCTTGATTGCAGTTCCCAAGCTGTGCCAAGTTCCCGGTGATGAACCTTTTTCCGAGGTCGGTATCCCAAGTCATAGACGTGATAGGGTCTACTGCTCTTCTGCCAGAGCGGTAGACACTTGTTGTGTAGTTGCGTGAATCTTGCTGCTTTTCACGGGCGTGGAATATGTTCAGACCTTGTCTTTTGCAGTAGCGCGGGCTCTTGAAGGTTCTTGCTTTCTGGCATCTTGATGAACTTGGGCCTGGTCATGCTGCAGGACATGAGGGTTAAGGTAAGCCCGGTTTCTCTCCTGGCGCAAAAAACCAGGAATGGATGTGGACGGCCAGGCACAAGGTTCGGAATTTGTTTTGTTAGAAGTGGAGCCTCTGAGCTTGTTTTCGCTGTCTGAACTTGATGCGGTTGTGATGGGCCAGGTCGGTGTTCTTGGGCTCTTGGTGATCTACGCGCAGGCGTTTGGATGAAGTTGCGGCGGGAGTGTGGTGAAGCTTCAGCGATGAGATTCGCAGGTGGCATCTTCAGCAATGTATGGTTTGCTTCCCAGCGTGCTGGTGGTGACCTTGGCTTGGAGCAAACTTGATGCGTCCCCTTTGAATCCATGGAGCTCCGGCGTAGACGGCAAGGTTGGAATCGCCGTGGCACTGGTTACGGCACAGGCCTCCTTGTCTAGGCTGTACTGTAGCCACGCTGAGAGAACAAGCCTGTTGCTGTAGCTGAGTGGAGGTG